CCTAGTGTCAACTGTGAATTTCTGGCTAAACTTGAGGATGGGGTTACTTATTGTGATGTATGACATGACGATTTTTATAAAAGTTCATACTAATCAAATAATATTTCAGATGTAGCTATGCTCCAGATATTTTGAAAGACAGGTAAAGTCATTTCACCTGGATTATGAGAGAGGATTATGTTTAGTACATTATAAATCATTTTTGTCCAAAAAGTGACTTTTGAGTTTAAAAAAATTGAATTAGCACTTTCTTGTCAAGTGGCACAACTCTGGATAATAATAAATTTTAAATAGGTATTGGTGCGGGCTTCTTATAATAAATAAGAAAAGATTTGAGACATCATTGTGAAAGCAAAATAATTATGAAGGATTTGTTAATACTATTGTAAAATTTTATTGAAATATTTTCTCGTCTATGTAAATAAATTATTGGTATTTAAAAGACATAAATGGAGTACCTCTTACCAATTTTGCCCGAAGAATTTAAACTGCAATCTTCAGATTGTTAAAATCAAATTAAATCTTGTGGCAGATTTCATACGTTTGTGTTTTATCATAAATCTAGCTCTAAGTACCCAAGAAAATAAGACTGAAAATATTTTCATTAATTTTTCCTCTAGAAAATGTGGGGTACATAAGATTGAATGAGGATATTTCAACTTAAGTAAATTATTTTTTCATGTAGCATATCCTTTGGACTATTTATGTAAAGTGAAGCATTTAAGTCAAGTTAAATTTTTATATTTTTTAAAATCCAGTTAATGGGGAGATTGTATCTACATGTAATTGCCCTATAATTCATAGACTTTGAAGGAATTCTTCCTGTTGGTAGTAACATTTGTTACAACTGAAAATGTTTTTGGATTTAAAAGTGGAAAGTTAAAAAAGAAGTTAATAATGACAGTATGCTAGAGGAATAGTGTGATCTCTTATTTTATTAACTGTTCAGTTGGATCCAGTGTACAAAATTGTGATGGATTTTTCACACTGGAAAATTGGATATTACATGCATTTAAAACAAAATGATGGTCATTCAAGTGTCTATTGATTTGGAGGAACTTTGATCGTAGGGGTGGTGCTGGGATCGATTTGACATTTATAGAGACTTACACAGAATTTACAAACAGCAAAATGAATGCAAGTCAAAAGGGATTTCAAAGTGGAGAAGATAAGTCTATTCTTGGCTGAAGTGGCCATGACAGGTCACAAGATGTGTTTTCTCTGAGAACCATAATTCATTCATCAGTGCCATTTCAAGAGTCCATGAAGACATAATTCATAATTCAGGGAAGGAGTTGCAAGCTTTGAATCTGAGATAGATTTAATAAAAGAGTTCAAAGGAACACCAACCATATTTACAACTTGTCCATGTGCCATTTGTTCTTATTAAGAAATCTGTGAATGGATGCAGTTTCTGTGTCGGTGAAGTTGGACTAAACTTGATGAAATTTGCTTAAATTGTGTCAAGGATATAATTTGATTTTCTACAAAAAGTCTGATATCTATAATGTCTGCTTTAAAAAGACAAAATTCGGCCACAGGCCTCAAAGATTATGCCCCGCAGGAGTCTCCAAAATCTCCAAAGGGGGGAGCAAAATTTAGTTTTGCCTCCATAGCCCAACAAGTTGTTCAGGAACAGAGAAGGGGGAGTACAAGGTAATACAGATAGGCTTCTTACTGAAATCTAGTACAGTCAAATTAATCAAAGATTAAGTTTATACTTTAATGACAGCCATTTTGTTTTTTGTATTCACATGCAGATTTAGGCCGTTGACCAGGTATAGTGTGTAGGTGGAATAAAACTAAGTTTTTGTCAACATGAATTATCATAAAGTATGGAGCATGGGTGTATTGTGAGCCTGCTGGTGCAATTTGTTGTTGCTTAAAAAATTTTCTTCCTATGATGTATTAATGATTTGCAATCCAAAGAAACTCTTGGAGAGCTATTTTGGAGTGTTGAAGCATCCAGATGTTTGAAATATATTTTTCATCTATAAATGCACAAAATTAATGTATTCATATTTTAATAGAAAGATTAACTTCCTCAGAAGGATAAAGATGGATGTTGTTTGTGAACTATCATTAGTTTTTCTGTTTCTTCTTATCCCCCCCCCCTTCCCTCTTGAAGAAATTTATTGTGAATTTTCATCATATTGGTGCATATCTAGTATTCATGCATGTTCTCGACATGGTTATACTACGTGTGCTACTAGAGTTAAAAGGAAGAGCAATCTCTCAATCCTTTCATAAAAAATTCACCATTAAATTATTATCCACTACCTGGGTAGTATGATTATCATTAGCTACCATGTAGTGTGTTTATTATTAACTACCAGGGTAGTATGATTATTATTAAATGCTTATTGTAGGAAAAGGAAAATTTCTAATGAGAAAAGTGAACTAAGGTTGTGCATGAGCAAAAAGGAAGAAGAATGGTAAGGTGTTGTGTTCTAGCTATAACAGTCGTACTGATCAGACAGGTCTGTCATTGAGGAGAAATCTAACATCACTAGGGTCATCTTCTCTGGTCAGTCACATCTAACATCACTAGGGTCATCTTCTCTGGTTATGTGATCAGTATTGACCACAGTAAATCAACATCACAATGGTTGTTGTTTTGTTATCACATTGTTGTCACAGTGGTCACATATTTTCTGTTGTTTTTCACAATATTAAAGTCAACTCACTTCAGTGTTGGTCACTGGTACCTTTGTATCATCAGACCTCCAAATTCAGGTGGGTAGATCAGGAACTCTGAGTAATAAAATCTAACAATGAAATTCAGTCATTTGCTTAGAGACAATGGAGGCATCAAGCAATGCTACATCCAATTTGACCATAACATGAAATATTAAGAAAAGAGATAGAAAGAGTAACCACCTCTGACTTGTCACATTTCTATTTTTTTTTCTCGGCAAAACTATTACATGTAGGAAGTAAAAAATATCAAAGTAAAACCGTACCACTTCATTAAAGAATTAAAACATCAGATTTTTATATATGTGTTACCAGGTATATTGATTATCCTTTCATCTGCTAGACTAGAACAATAATTACAGAGTAACCCCTAATAGGGAGATAAAGCAACAGTGGGATCAATTTCTGTTCTGCACGAGTACTAAGTACTGCTGCAGGGCATGTAGAGAAAAAAATGATTTAAGAGTTAAATTTTATGACCGAGTTTTACTTTCCAACTTAATCTGATTAAATACTGCACCACCAATTACAGCATTTAATTTTTGAACTTGAGAAGACCCGCTAATACAAATTTAATTCAATGTTGAATTTTAAGGTGACTCTTCAAAGTTCAAGTGGATCTAGAAAATACCATTTTAGTGTTGTTATGATTTATTAAATGCATATCTGCCAATCTCAATCTTTCTACAGAAAATTGAATTCAGACATTAAAATATTAATTCACTGAAAAAGATCTTGAGTCCAGATGTACAAGATGATAGCTGTCAGCAAAGAACTAACTGAATAGAATGTTTTTGAAATGGATTAAAAAGTTTATCAAAATGTTTTCATAACCATTTAATTTACTTACATCTTGATAGCATACTGTCACTTACAATTTTAATATACTGCCCATATTTAAGTGCTAAAAGTTGAATTGCTAAAGGTAAAATAAATTGATTTCAACCTGAAATATGTTTTGTTTTGAGGGAAGGATTTGGAATATGAAACCTACCAGAAAAGTTAAATACACATAATAGATTAATTTAGACTTTGAATTAATTCAATAGACTTAGTTGAGTCTCAATATTTGATTGAGTTTAAAGTTTTAACTCAAGTAAAGGTCAAAATGTCAAGGTCAAAGCTTATGTCAGAATGAACTTTGTCATAATTTAGAGTTCCATGATTTACGTACAGATCTCTGTAATGAAATTTGCTCATTTTTATTTCTTAAATGTGTTTGATTTCTTACACGTAACTACACTGTATGTATCTTCCTTATATTTAATGTTGTTTGCCGTTGTCATCACATATTGCAAAACAAATTTAAAAGTTAAATGTATTTTTACACATTTATATATTCACATATATCGTGGCTGTAAATTGTCTCATCCCGAGGAGCATAGATAAGTTCTAAATTGATATGTTCTTGACTCTATACTGTACAAGGAGAAGCCTGAAATCTTACTGTCATAAAACGGCAGCAATAATCTAGGAGATTGGTGTGAGGATTGGGTGTGAATGAGTTTGTCTGGAATTTTAATGGAAAATGATTAGAAAAGATAAGGTCTATGAAGTTCAAGGGAAAATTGATTTATAAAGGAATTTTAACAGTGATTAATCGGAAGCCTATAGTATTATACAGCGATAGCTTTGTTTTGATAGATTTCCGCTATTACATGTAAATGTGTCACGGAATTGACAAGGAAGTGTTTGAAGGATATTTCCATAGTTATTGATTAGTGTGTGGATATTTCATATAGAAATTTTCTTGGAAAGAAAAAAGTTATTGTAGTGAACTGAAAACTATTCTGGGTTTATAAAAAATTGGTGGAAAAGGATAAAATTCACAATCACTACTAGGATTTATTTTTCCCAAGATGGAAAGTATTTCTGAATCAATTGATTCAGTTCCACCACCAGAGTCTTACTATCTGTCTAAATCAGTTGAAGATGATAGGATCTCAGAGGATAAAAACACTTCAAATAGGATAAGAGTCAGGGATGCGGCAAAATCAAACATGTCCAGGTCTATGTCAGAGAGTTCTTTCCTACAATCTAACCAAACCAGACGTAAATTCAGTTATAATAACCCATTTGGAATAGATTCAAAGTTGAGGTAGAAGTCAAATAATGGTCTTTATAGAATAAATTATATATATTTGGATGTGGCAGGGTCAGAAAAGATGTGTTTATATTAAACTGTGCAGATATTTTCACTGGTTAAATTTTAAATATTGGAGTTATTTCCCTTATATGATTTTCCCTTGGAGTAATCCATTACATATGTACAAACTGTTAATATTATGCTTTTCTCTGAACAGGGAAAAAGAGAGGAATGAACTCAAAAGCAAGATTGAAGAGTTAGAAGCCTTTAAAAGAAAGTATGAAGAGGAAAAACAACACAAAGAGGTTTGTATATCTGGTCTGTTCATTTGGTGTCAATAAATAAGTGGAAAATTCCCTAGCAATGCAAATTTCTGACAAAAAGATAATGTACTAAATACTGTACAAATAAAATAAGTGAAAACTTACTGACATGTTCATTCTCAATCACATTCATTCTTGACATATGGTTGGTAGTTTTAAACTGTAAAATTCATTACATTAGCAGTATGCAGACATTTAGGCACTTAATTTCTTTTTTTATTAAGACTTTGATTAATTTTTGGTGAAAGGTGTAGGAATGAGGTCAGAATGAACATTACATATTACAATGTAAGAGATAAATTACACTTGTTCATAGTAAAATTTTAGGTACTTTGTGTCATTGTATGGAAGAAGAAGTTTAAGCTTGTCATTTGAAAATCTTCATATTTCTGTGTCCAGGGAAATTTTACTTTGCTTATCCAGAATTTCTTTATAGTTACATCTCAGATAAATAAGTAAATCTTCTGTATTCTTTATGTGCCCATAAATTTCACTATGTATGTCAGAACATTGGGGTGACATTGGTTCAGGTGCTCTCAAATAAAAAAGAATTTCCTGCTATCTGTATGACTCTTCACACACAGACAAAATTTTGTTTCCATGGTTTACACATATAATTTTTTTTTATTTATAGTTTACTCCTTTACAAATTGGTATAGTTTGATAACCAGATTATTTTTCCAGAGAAACTTTATATGTAGATACCAGAATGTATATCCTGAAAGTTCTCAAAAAAAAACCATTTGATAAAATTACATGATCTTATTTGTTGATTGCTGCAGTTACCTTTTATTTAATTTTACCTAATGAATACCTGCCCTGATCCTTAAAACTGTGTCAAAAGGACTTTTTTTAATGTACCTGGAACATTTTCAATTGGTGATTTAAAGCTTTAGCAATTTAACAATTTGAAGTAGGACCCAAAACAAATATTATTGACCTTATTTAAAGAAGTAAAAATAAAATAGAATGTATATACGAATGAAATGTTACTGACACCAGAGTCTGTCAGTGTATGATTTTTTTATGCCCCCATAATGAAAGATTTTGGGCATATAGTTTTTGGTCTGTTCATCTGTCTGTCTGTTTGTCTTTAACCTTGCCCATAATTTTCAAGTGGTTGGTCTAGGGCTTTCATATTTCACTTGTGTATAACTTTTGAACAGTTGGTTCTGGGGCTTTTACATTTAAAATGTTTATTTCATGTGACTTTAACTTTCTTTGGGTACCAAAATTTCTGACCTTGACTTTTGAGTTTGACCACTTTTGAAAAACTTTAACCTTGGTCATAACTTTTGAACAGTGAGTGCTAAAGCTTTCGTTTATTGCAGGTATATTTTTGTGACAAGACCTTTCTTTGAACACCAACATTTATTTACCTATTGACCTTGACCTTTGAGTTTGACCTACTTTTGAAAAACTTAAACCTTGGCCATGCCTTATGTGGGTGCTATATATTTCACATGTTTATTTCTTGTGACAAGACATTTCTTTGAGTACCAACATTTTTGACATTTTGTCCTTTACTTTTGAGTTTGACCTACTTTTGAAAACTTTAACCTTAGCCATATCTTTTGAACAGTGGGTGCAAGGGCTTTCATTTATCACTGTGTATTTTTTGTGACAATACCTTTCTTTGGGTACCAATACTTTTGACCTCACAATCTTGACCTTTTAGTTTAACCTACATTTGAAAAAACTTTCACCTTGCCTGAAACTTTTGAAGTCAAATTTCATTTTAGATATTTCTTGTGACAAGACCTTTTCTATGGAAGCAATATTTTGACCTCATGACCTTGGAGTTTGACCTACTTTTGAAAAACCTCAACCTTAGCCATACTTCCTGAATAGTTAGTACATGTAAAAGGGCTTTTATATTTGGCATGTGCATTCCTTGGGACTAGACCTTTGCTTGGATATGAACAATTTTAAACTCTTGACCTTGGAGTTTTAGCTACATTTAAAAAACTTTAACCTTGACCTTGCACTGCCAAACAAGGGCATCAATGTTTCACAAGAATATTTTTTTTTGTAAAAATTCATCTGATTCATAAAGCTTTTATTTCTTTTTTGCTTTTGGGAGAAAATTTCCTTACTGATGATAATTTTAAAAAAATTAAAAAGGAACTCAATAATGAAATATAAAGGTACATGTAGTATGATTAAAAAAAAGCCTTTAAATTAAAATCTAATTTCATTATATGCAGATAAGATTGACACGTATAATTTTGTTGATATATTCCTTAAAAAAATTTGAATTGTTAGTAAAAGGATATTTTGGGACTTGTTACAAAGAAATAAAAATGATGATAAATTCTTATGAAACAGAAGCTGCAGCGACAAGTGGACAGCTTAACAATTAGCCTGAGCGATGTCAACCAAAAGCTGAGTAAAGCTGGTGAACTCAATGAACGACTACGGCTCGATGGTAAAAAGAAAACGGAGCAAATTGAAAAGCACCAGAGAGATGGACGATTCTTGGAGGATCGGCTCAGAAATCTGGAAATAAGAGGTGAGGATAAAAACTTCATTTGATCAAATGTTGCAGACTGGATTCTACTGTTTCTAATCCAAATACATGTACCTATACATAAGTCAATCTTTCATGTAAAGTTTTCCAGGCCTCAATACATGTACCAGGTGTTAAGATGAACCAACCAGGCCCCAAGACCATAAACTGAGAATAGAGTTAAGTCAAAATTTCGATTCTCAATCTCTTGAGTTTTATTTTACATACATGTTTTGAAATTTGCATGCTAAGTCTGTTCTCAGTTTATGGTCTTGAGGCCTGGTTAGTGTTCCTTCTATTTTGTAACATAGCCTTAGACAGCAGCCCTAGTCACGAGGGAAAATTTAATGGTTTAAATAAAAATTGGGGAGGGGGATTGGACTGCTTATGGAAGTCAAAAAAGAAAGTTGTTTAATTAATGACACACCTTTATTTTCTCAAAATGAATATTTTTCACTGGGGATAGAAGTGATAATTACAGCATATTTCTTTTGAGTTAAGGTTGGATTTTCAGTGAAATAAATCCTTCACACGTAAAATCTCAGAATATTATTTATCAGTAAGTCATGTTTTGTACCTGTGTACTTTTAGATACATGTATATAAAAGCAGCGTTGAGCAATGACACTTAAGGAAGCTAGAGTACGAAGTTATTTTAATGGTATAAAATTTTACACAAAATTACAACTGAAATTACTACTGAAAGTGCAGAATTATTGGGTGATATCCAAAGTTTGCCAAAAGCTTGCAAATTGTTTCAAGACCATTAAAGATGCACATTTTCCCTCTTTGAATTGAAGGAAATTGAAATGCCTTGGGCATAAATTAAAAACAAGAATAAATAGCAAGTGAAACTGTGTATGACGAACTCTATAAATCTTTTGATTTGTTGATTACCGCTGTATTATAGATAAATCTTTACATTATTGCTATATACTGATAAATTTCTGATGTTGAAGTTGATCTAATCTCACAGTCATACCCCGTATGTTTTTTTAAAATGTCAAGCACTTTAAAATCCATGACTCAATCCATTGGAAGGGTCTGTAGTAAGAGACAATGGAGAGTAAATATAGTCTTTTGTGCTCTTTGAAGAAGAGAAGAAAAAAAATAATTAGAGAAATGAATGGGAAATGAAAGTGCTTGCTTTATACCTGTTTAAATAGATAATATGAGTAGGTTTTAATTGAATCTCCAATAATGATCTATACAAATCTGACAAAATTCACTGTTGATATTGATTATTCCATAATTGCTTTATGTTCAAATGAAATATGAACGAGATTTATAATGCCTTTCATCATTTGAGAATTTATCTTATTTATTTCTTTATTCCATTGTAGCTTCTGAAGTTGAAAAGGCTGAATTAATTCTAGAAACAACTCGATCAAATTTAGAATCCACTACGTAAGTAACGGATTTCAGTTAATAAAGCATACTGAAAAATCATATGAAGTACAAATAATGTGATGTATAAGTGCTTATCAATGTTTCAGTACTCAGCTTCGCAGCCGAGAAAATCAGATCCGAAAAATGGAGGCTGCAGAGGAAGAACTCAACAAAAAACTCACGGTATGTTGTTAAATGTAAAAAAAAAAAAAAAAAAAACTCACGGTATGTTAAACATAAAAAAAACTTCATGGTATGTTGATGAAATGTCAACAAAAAACTCACGGTATGTTATTAAATGTAAAAAAACAAAAAACTCACGGTATGTTGTTAAACATAAAAAAAACTTCATGGTATGTTGATAAAATGTCAACAAAAAAATCATTGTATGTTGTTAAAATGTCAACAAAAAACTCATGGTATGTTGTTAAAATGTCAACAAAAAACTCGCGGTATGTTGTTAAATGTAAAAAAAAAAAACCAGCTCACGGTATGTTGTTAAATGTAAAAAAAAAAAAATTTGCAGTATGTTGTTAAAATGTCATCAAAAACTCATGGTCATTAGACATTACTTTTGATGATTTGCTTTTGTTGATGAGATTTAATTTCCTTTGTGTATTTGGTATGCTTATAAATTTAACTAACATAAGGTATATTTTTAAAGAACATTATGCATAAAGACAGATAAATCAGAATTAAAGAGAATCAATGAAGATGAAATTTTAAATCAAAAATTAAATCAATTTGGTATAATTTTTATAAATATGTATTTTCTTATCCTGTGTAGTTAGCCAATCAGAAAATCAGTGAACAAGAAGCCAAAATAATCGATCTCAATCACCAAGTCCGACATGAATTAACAAGAAATGAAGGAATAGAAAAGGTAACTAAATCTAGTCCATATTACTTGAGGTATAAAGTTACAAAACATAGGGGGAATGGAGTGCAGTTGGTTAAAACAGTAAAGTTTAGTTGCTTTCTATATTTATCCTGATATTTATTTTCACTGTGTAAGCAAAAAAAAAAAAAGGAGGGGAGAAAAAAAAGCTATTAAAAACAAAGTCAAAGTAAATTAAGATAAAAAATATTATTTTAACACTTTCAGAATTTGGAAATGATTCCAAAACTAAAAGAGCAAATAGAGGAGAGAACAAAAGAAGTGGAATCCTTGAGGACAGAAGTCCAGGACAAAACGGCCCTGCTGGCCGTGGCTCGTAAATCCGCAAGGGAATACAAAGACCAAATCAGGGTCAGTACATGTTCTAAATAGAGGAATTATTACTTTGACAATCTTAAAAGATCCATCAGTCATAGTAAAGTTTACTTATTGTATCTCAGACACTGATGTGTCAAATACCAGGAGTAAGTCATGGTGAATCGCCACTGAAATTTATCATGAATTTTAAATAAACTTCAGTATTTTTAATCCTGAAACAAGTCACAGTTTTAAACGATTCCACCAAAGTTGAATCAGAAGTCAACTATGACTATATTTCTAAACAGTTTCACATGGTCAGATTCATAGATAATATCAAATAATACTGAACAAATCTGCCATTTTAGGAAGTAAGAAAGGCTCCTATAACTCCTCACAGAGGAGCCAGTTCATTGTCTCCTTATGACCTAGCTTGTCTCTCTTTTCATGGTTATCTTTTCTTATAATGTATTTAAGATGTATTGCACAACACAAATGTAAATTGAAGTGTACTAAAGTTAAAATGTCTGCACAACATCATATCAGCATGATTTTCACTGCTTGTTGGTATTTTATAAAATGTTGTATACAGGGAAATTTTCGCCCTCGTCGCAATTGGTGATTTTAAAATGGGGTGAATTCAAAGAAAACGGCATTATCTCTTAAACAGAACTGTGTCTGGGCTAATTTAAAATGGGGCAAAATTAATTGCAGGTTTGAAAGGGCGAAAAAAAAACCTGTATACTGTAATGTGAGTTTGGTCAAATTACATGGAGGAGTAAGAAATTATATCTGTGTGTGTTCTTGCAGGCAATGGAGTATAAAGTGGCCAAGACAGAGAAACTGGAGTCAGAGCTGGACATGGCCCAGTGTGAGGTCCAAACTCTGAAGAGATTGTTACAGGGGAAGGACCATCTGGTGATACAGAAATCCAAGGCTCTCGACGTGGCCAAGGTGTGTACTAAAAAAAATCACAGGGTCAAAGATAGAGGTCAAAGTGTAGATACCTGGTATAACATGATCAGAAGCCCAAAGCTGTTGATGTTGCCAAGGCCACCAGGGTCATGCATAGAGGACAAAGTGTAGATACCTGGTATTTACATACATGTAATCAAAAGCCTAAAGCTCTTGATGCCAAGGTGTGTACTTAAAATAATCTCCTCAGGGGTCATAGGGGTTAAAGTAAAGATACCTGTGGCATGTTCAACAATGTGAGGGCTCATGTGTGCTTGCCAAAAGTAGAAGTTTCAGAAATGTTCATGAATGCTTGCATGTGCCCTCTCTGTTGAACAGGCCTCCGGTATTACATGATCAGAAGCCCAAAGCCATCAATGTTGCCAAGGTGTGTACTAAAAATAATCACAGGGCTCATGGATAGAGGTCAAAGTGTAAATATTACTCAAGGTCAGAAGCCCAAAGCTCTTGATGTTGCAATCTTCTAAAAAAGTCACTCAAAATGCACTGAATAAATTTACTCAACCATTGTCCCTTTTCAGGATGTGATAGAGACAATGAATTTGTCGACAGAGCCAGAACAAATTGACAAGATAGTTCTTTTACTGGAAAGGATAGGGACCACCTCAAACAGGGAGTCCATCAACGGAAGTATATGGTAAATAAAATCTGTTTTAGGTAGCTTATTTTTGGTGTAGCATTCATAGTGGATAAAAACAGACTGTTTTTTTAAAAGTCAATTAATTTTCATTTTTAGTGAGTCTTCCAGTGGAGAAACAGACAATAGAAACAAGCACCATTTCATACACCCTAAGAACAAGGTCAAGATTGTGTTGCATGATCTGTAGTGATTTATGGACCTGCATGGTTCTGTCACTTTAAGAGAATCCCTATATACATTTCTTTCTTCAAATATTAATGATCCAAGTAGAAATTAATTATATACATATTTTGTTTGTTTCTCTGTTTTATAGGCAAAGGATATAGATGTTAATAGAAATCCATACTCATCTGATCACAATAATGTAAAAAATCGCCGACGACCTTTGTCTGGGGGAGGGTTTCTGGATAACATGCTAAGGGAGGACTCCTCACGACCAAAGACAGCCATAGTGAGGCCAGTCAAGCGTAGCCAATCATTGAAAGATGCCGTACCTATCAAAGGACTCTCTCTCATTGTTAATGGACGACCCGAGTCACGGTCCAATGATCTCAGATACTCAAGTGAGAAAAAGACAAATTCAAAATACCAGCCATCAGTGGACTGTATTATTGGTGTACAAGACAAAACAACACTCAGGTCAGGATCTCGACCGAGTGCTTCTCCAAGGTCTCCATCATGGAATTCAAGCAAAAGTAGGTCAGAGAACTCCATGAGTCTACAGTCTGAAAATTCATCAGACAGCTCAGACTCGGAAGAGAACTCAAAAACTGTGGAAGTTTTGTCTAAGTTACCAGCTAAGGAAAGGGAGGCAATCCTTGTACAGTATATTGATGTGGGGGACCGTATTGTTATTGCAGTGCCTCAGAAACCTCCAAGATATGGCAAAAAAATTGGTAAGTTATCACTTTTTTTTTAAGTTTTGTAAAATTTTATTGATGAAAAGTTTAAGTGTAATTTTTTAATATATGTATAAAAACCTTTTGTTTTTATTTTTCTAGTGCCCAAACCCAAAATATACACAGGAATAGTAAAGTACAGGGGTCCTTTAGAACAAAAGTATAATTCCAGGATCTATGTAGGGGTACGACTCGATGAACCAGGTATAGCTTTCAAAAATAAATTTGAAGATTGGATTTACTTTATTGAAAAAAATTTTAAGATAAAAGATCTTCTTTCAGCCATTTGAAAAATAGTTATCTGTATTGAAAACATACTGATCAAAGTGAATTCAATGAAATCTTTTTTCACTGAAGATGGGGATACAGATGGGACACATAAAGGAAAGCGCTACATGTACACCCCATCTGACCTGGGAAAGTTCTTTAAACTCATTGATCTGACTTCAGTCCTAGACCCAAAGGTAACTTGAAATTCTTCAGAATTCGTTATAATGGGCAGTGTAGAGGTTCTGTCAGTGGTTTTTCTCAGTTTTCTTTAGTTTTTAATTTTATACCTACTCAGATGAACAATAAAAGTTTGAGAAACATGCATGTATTATTAAATTGTAGAATTGTAAATGGTTGCATTTTATAAACATTTAAGATAATTAATTTTTTTTGTTGGCAGAAAGGGAAGTACAGAGTAATTACCTCAATATTAGCACATCACCTTGATAGAAAAGGGAAGGTGGATAAACATGTTTCTGTGGAGAGTTAACTTTATACACATGCTGTAGTAGATTCCAGCTTTTATCTTCACTCAGAAACACTGTGACAAAAGTGAATGCTTCACAGAAATTGAATTTTCTCAATATACACTGTACAATGCATTTTCTTATGATGATATGATCAGTGCACAGGCCAGGACCGGAGGTCTTAAATTACTTCTGCTTCGTATAGAGCAGAGTGCCTGACTTAGGACTTGTATAACTTATTATTGTTCATAATATTAAAGAAAACTGAAAGCTTCCTGTGATATAACAGTTTATTGTATTTTTTTTATACAATGCTGTATGAATATTTATTAGACATCAATATTTATTAAAAATTGATATACAGTGCTTGTCTTTGCTTTTTTTTTTCCTTTCAAGTTAGAATTTGTTTCGACCTGGGTGATCTATCTTTGAGAAATGCTATCATGAAGCTTTAAATTTTTGTTTTGGTTGTATCTTCTGAGGATTTTTTTTTTCATTTGTTTAGTGCGGTGTAAATATATTGCAGACCTTTCTTCTCTTTTTTTTTTGGGGGGGGGGGGGACCAAACAGAAATTTCTTGTTCCTTAACACAACCGTAAATAACTATTTTCTATTGTATAGTACAAGGGTCAATCAAAGAATACGTAGAAGATGTCGCTCTTCGTCACTCAAAGTAAATTAAGAATTTGAAGATCAATACATTATCATGTGTAAAACCATTTATTTTGTTGACGTGTGCAGTTTCTACTCTAACAAATGGAACTCATGAAAACATTATTTAAAAATCAACATGTTTTGTCACCACAGAGCAAGCTTATCACGTTACGTCAAAAACATAATGTCGTAACAATTTCTCAAAAATAATACCACCTCTTCATTTTACACACAGTCTTTGGTGCCTTACCCATTATGTAATTTAAAAGTCTATATACCATTTTATACTTTGTTTGCTATCAATTATTCGATTATCAAGATAATTCGTTTTCATTTTCTAAGTCTGCTTTCACTAGAAGCGCACATCCCTTTCCATGACGTTACTTGCGATTTTGCCCATTTTTTTTAAAACTGATTATTCACTTCCTTCGTACGAAAGCCTATTAGGATCAAACTACGGTAAAAAAAAAATTTAAAAGGCGTTATAACGCCTTTTCAAAAGGCGTTACAACGCGAAAAAAGGCGTAATAACGCCTTTTGAAAAGGCGTTATAACGCGGAAAAAGGCGTAATAACGCAAATAAAGGCGTAATTACGCCTTTCCAAAAGGCGTTATAACGCGAAAAAAGGCGTTATTACGCCTTTGTAAAAGGCGTTATTACGCCTTTCCAAAAGGTGTTATTACGCCTTTCCAAAAGGTTTTATTACGCCTTTCCAAAAGGCGTTATTACGCCTTTTAAAATGGCGTTATTACGCCTTTTAAAAAGGCGTTATTACGCCTCTTTTTTTCAATACATGACTTACTTAGCCCACCCTGGGAACTGATTATAATTAGATTTCTAGGAAAAAAGATTTTTAAATGTGTAAAATATTTTCAGTGTTAAACCAAATTAGTCCCTCTCTGATGCCAGACGCTTCTACCAAGGTGTATGGATTTCAGAAATTTTGTTGAAGGCTAATTGCTCATTATACTTATGCAAATACTATGCCTGTTTTTTACCAAGAGGAGAGAAAAATATTTCAAATTTGACATGAATTTTTAATACGTGGCTAGCAAAGCCCAAAGCTGGTTCTGCCTATATCCTGGATTTTCAAAAGTAGAGTGTTGACTTCTCTTAATATGCATGCAAAATGCAAACAACTGTCTGCGAGATGTGCAGGAATATAGAAAATACTATAATTCATAATATAATTTATAATATTAAAACTATAATCTAAATATAGATGGCTTTGGTTCAATCTTTCATATATTTACTATTTTAAAATAACGCCTTTCCATTTTCGGATACAACTCCTTTTCAAACAGGCCGGTAGTACGAATGTGAGGGGGGGGGGGGGACCCACTTTTTGGGAGAATGGTCTTGCTATAGTTTAAATATAAAAAATCATTAATTGATTGCTTGGTCCCTTAACATTTTGCTGCAGTATGGTTAAACTCGGGCAAGTCATTGCATTTAAAAAAAAAATTATCGAAAAATTAGAAAAAGTTTCCCCTCAAGTTTAGGCAGTTTATTTTTTTTCGGGGGAGGGGGGGGGGGTCTTGTTTTTTTGTTTGCTTGTCAATTTTATGGGAAACCCCCCCCCCCCCACTTTAAAAGCACGGGCCTGTCAAAGATATAATAATGGCCCTTCAAAAGGCATAATAACGCCTTTTTGAAAGGCGTATTAACGCCTTTTAAAAAGGCGTAATAACGCCTTTTAGAAAGGCGTAATAACGCCTTTTGGAAAGGCGTAATAACGCCTTTTTCGCGTTATAACGCCTTTTGGAAAGGCGTAATTACGCCTTTATTTGCGTTATTACGCCTTTTTTCGCGTTATAACGCCTTTTGAAAAGGCGTTATAACGCCTTTTAAATTTTTTTTACCGTAGTTTGATCCTAATAGGCTTTCGTAAGGACAAGGTATGGTAACGGCCAAATTTGGCCATTATTTGATGTAAAAGTCAAACACACTTAAAATTGTTATAGTTTGCAGTTAAGAGCTTGAAATGTTGCTTATTTTAAAACCAGCAATAAATTTGATTCAAAGAGTACAGGGAGGCCACAAGAGAGTGCCAAAGTTGGACATTTTACCGAATTTTCCCAATTCTGACAGAATTTCGTCAAATTTGAGATACTTTTCACTTCGGAAAATATAGACCACAAGCTTGCCTATGTGAGATTTTTATACACAAAAAGCATCTGATACCAGTGCATGAAATATATTTTGGTAGATAGGCAAGCTTGTGCTCTGTGTTTTCTGAAACAAAATGTGCAATAAAATTGATGAAAATTTGCATAAAAATGAGAAAATTCGGAAATTAACATATTTTGTGACCTTCCTGTGACCTTTATGGACCCCATAACTTGAATCAATACTCGTTTTGTAAGAGGGATGACAACAGGTTTGTAATTATGAACTATCGCATCGCTCCTGGAGACCACAAATCAGGGACCAAAAAGGGTCCTTAGCCTATCTTGTACTTTCTGTGACATTTATAAACACATGCACGACTAACTTTTGATTAATTTTCTGCTTTCTTCAGCTTTTTTTTTTTAAATTTATTTATTTATTTATTGAGAAATTTTTCAAATGCAATACAAAGTCGCATCGGTACTCTCTGCTCCGTCACATCCTGCGACGTTAACTTTTCAATGAAGACTATATTCATTTTCTGTAATTGATTTCAGCTCAGAGAAGTAATATACATGTATTACGTTAATATTTGGCATGTAAAATGATGTAACTATTCTCAGTTTGACAGTTTAATTTTCATTGTGTTTTATCGCCATCTGAAAGAGATATGACTATAGAAATTTTTACAGTGTATTGCAATTTCATTACTAAATCCCGACAAATTATTTGGATCCATTGTTGAAATATTCCTGCAAAATTTGGTCATAATATATGACGTAGGATTTAAAAAAATTGTAACAAAAGTCTATTTGAATGACCCTCGTATATAAAGGCAAAAAAATATATAAATAAATAAAAAAAAATATAAAGGCACCCCCCACCACCACCACCACCCTTCACATACACCCTTTCAGCTGTTATGTTGTCAAATGTATCCTCCTGTTTAGGGCTTGTCAAACAAGATGTGACAACTTCACGCCTACTTCTACTTTGATTTGCTTATACACTACTAAAACCATGTTTTACAACTCCATTTTATTTCTTAAGGGAAAATGAAGAAAATCAAAGGCTATATAGTTTTTCCAGCTACAGTGTATTTGATTAGAAATTTAATCTGTGCAATGGTCCTCCCATTGGTACAGTTCTTTTGTGTTTCTTTTCACTGCATTTGCAGCAAAAGCAACATGTTATTAGTAACAATGATATAATTATTGCCAGGGCAGCTATTCCAGTGTAGACCATCCATTGTACTAGGAATGACTCTTCCTTGTATCTTGCTGTTGATCCTATGGGATCCAACACTGTAACATTGTCCTGCAGTCCTGTAGCTTTGGGTTCTGTCAAAGATAATTTCTTAGAAATAGATTTTTAGCTTTAAATAAGCTTTAAATATACATGTACTAGTTATAATATATTATACATTTATTGACTGCGTTCGAGGGCAACATGCGTTTTGTCGAACCCAAGAACTAAACTCTTTGCCTGAAGCTGTTAGGCCAAAGGCAAACAGTTTGGTTCGAAGGGTCGATAAACATATGCTTCGTGCGGCAAATTTCATGCTCACAAGCCAATAATCCGTCCACGTTTGACTGCAAGACATAGCAATACTCGTCTTGATTTTAGCAGAAACCATGAACATTGGCAGTTACGCCATTTGAGACCGATTCTGTTCACAGATGAATTCACGTTTTGTGTGGACTTTCAGGATGGTCGTCCGCGTGTGTGGCACCAAAAAAAAAAGAACTGTATCAGGACCGTTGTGTTGCTGAGCATAACCGCTTTGGTAGCGGTTCTGTCATGGTTTGGGGTGAAATGTGTTTCGACGGCCTTACGGATCTGTATTTCATTCGGAATGGTCCTTTAACTGGTCTAAGATGCAAAAATGGGATTCCTCAAAACATTGTTCGTTTCGTCCTTTTGCAGGTGCTATTGGTCAAGATTTTCTCATGAATAAGGCAATACCACACAGGGTTAGAGTTGTTGAATAATATCTTGCTGATGAAACAATTGAACGAATGTAATGGCATTCTTGTTCGCCCGACATAAATCCAGTAGAACACATTTGGGATTTCCTTCAGCGACGTGTACAGCAGCGCCATGATGCGCCTCTATCAAATGTACAGGAGCTGGAAAATGATCTCCACTGAAGAATGGAGCAGGATCCCATCGCGTACGATCAAAACTCTTATCCAGAGTTTTCCGAGGCGTTGTCATGCTGTTGCGTTAGCGCGTGGTGGTCCCACAAAATATTGAAGCATTTTCACGTAGAATTTGATCAAATCTCATGACATTTGAAATCTCTATAATTTGCACTTCCATATTGGATTTATGAGACTGTACACTAGGAATCATTCAAATTCTAATGGAATTAATTCTCTTGGTTTTGTATAATCGATGCATTCATGAAAAGAATAGAAATGCTGTCATTTATAACTAAAATGTTGTTAATATGTTTCAGATTTATTCCTCTTTACCCCCCCCCCCCCTTAAAAAATCTATTAAACTTAACCTTCTTTGTTGAGTATAGCTGATCCCACGTATCGGTACATTGTGACGTTAAAAACGTCATAGCGGTCCAATATTTCATCGGCATGTCCAG